CAGCCCCTGGCGAGGAGTGGGGAATCAAACTCCCAAATTTTGGCCCTGCAGCCAGAGACCTAAACCACTGGACTATCCAGTATTTCGGGATATTGTTAACAGTTATTAACTTTTTAATACCAATGTGGCTTCCTGATAGTGCTTAACTTAGGAAAAGGAGCAGGAGGCTCATCTTGCTCTCCTCTACTGGCCAACCTGTGCAAGCTCTCAGCCTTGAGGCCCACCTGTATCAGTCCCAGCCAGACAAATGTGGGGAGGTCTTCCCAGGTCACCAGCTTCAATGCTGGCCAAGGAAGCCTCATAGGGTGTCCCACATCTGTGTCTCTCATTCATGTTATTCAAGGGAACAATACCAGTCATGTTATTCATGGGCCCAGTCACCAAACACTGCCCTCTAGAGTTCATTGGTTTCCATCCAGGCTTCCAACAGCCCCATCAGATTGTGACCATCTATTTGAAGCCGCACTGTGTTCTGATCAGCCCATATGTTCTGTGGGTAATCAGAATGAGATGGGTAAAAAAATCCTGAGTCCCTTTTGTCAATTGGCAAACACGGCCCCAAAATTCCTACCCCGCTGCAAAGTATCAAGGCAACCTCAAACTACACCTACTGGGTGGGTGGGATGAATGCAGGCCAGTGTTATAGCGGGGCCGCCCTTTGAAGCTGTGCTTTCCCCACCCATAATGCTAGCAATGTAGTAGCACTCTGCATTGCTATTGGGTCCTGCCTCTTTTCTCCGGTGAAGCAAGGAAGAAAAGGCTCCCTCTCTTTCAACTGCTCAAGCAGCATCATTATGAAGCCAGCATTTTTGTGTGCATTTTTCTGGTGGGCTAATGCAAATGAAGGTCAAAGTAAGGGAAAGTCTATTCCTTGCAGTGAACATGTTCTCCTTCAGTTAATGGGATTCCTTGAGAGATCTATGCCTCAGCAATCAAAATAAGTTCCAGTGATCAATCACACAACAAATCAAAGCTAGGTGCAAGATAAGGAGGTAAGGAAATACATGTACAATGAAACACAGATTTTTTTTAATAAGAGAGAGAGCACCACTTCTATATATGTACTGTGTAGATTGTGCAATCTGATCCTTCTGTATATGCATTTGGTTGTATCTAGGTTTTGTACATTGTAATAATGTGAATTTTAGTTGTCACATAATTTTCCTTGGAACTGTAGTGATAATCTGAGGCAAGAGTTTTGTCCTGTTGCCCATCTCAGAGTACTGTACTTGCAAAATGGATCTTTTTTTGTACGTTGTTTCTAAACTCAACAAATTTATTTTCCATCTATAACAAGAATGAATAGAAGTAGAATGAATGGAAAATAAATCTGGACCCCAAATACTAAAATTTACCAATGTGATAGTTTTCTTATTCTAAGAGTGAAACATGTTTACTAAGAAGTGAGTCCTCTGTTAAGTATGATGAGGTTTACTTTCAGGCAGGTGAGCATAGGATTTCATTTATTTTTCATTTATTTTATTTATATCCCGCCTATCTAGTCGATAGACCACTCTAGGCGGCTTACAACAAGGGATACAACAATAAAAGGATTGTAGCTGTAAAGGAATAATTAACTTTAGCCACTATGAGATTTTGAGGAGGAAACGTTTCCTTGGAGAATTTTAGGACCTAGATTTTTCTGGTTTGCACCTCTTATAGCTTGAATAAAACAACAATGTTCCCTTTGTGTTTTGGGGGACCAGTTCATTGATATTAATGACAGATGTATGTTGCTCTGATTCTTAAAAAGAAGGGGAGCTTTACAATTAGCAGGCAAGGCAATCATAGTACTTTAAGAAATGCTACTAATATGGACTGCATGGCGTGGACCTTCTGGCAGGCATCTATGGAATGTTAGCATGACTGCTATGCAAGAGCATAGAACATTGCTTCCCCCATCTGAAACATTTTCTGTCTTTGTTATATATACAAGGTGGTTCAGAGATTGCCAGTGATTTCATTCAGATGATCATGGTTAAAATGCTTGAGAACAAGTCTCGGATGCATGCTTCTCCTCTCCTCTTTCATACACAAAGTGAGAAAAGGAGAAGCTTTTGCTTTCACTCTAGATCTAGCCATAGTTACACCAACCCATGGAACTGTGGTTTGTACTAACAAGCATACCTAATTCTGACAATGTTAGTAAAGGCCTTTTTCCAATAGGCACCTTATTCTGGAGGGGGAGGTAAGAAGATGGACTTCTTCTTGATGTTCCCTGCACCCTAGTTATGGCACACTCATTCTAGAGTGCTCTCTTGGCACCTGTGTTGATGTATTTTAGTGTCAGGCAAAGATTTTCCTGTCTTCTCAGATCTTTCCACTTTCCTTTAATATCCTCTCACCTTACGTCAGCCACATGTCAAATTGTTATTAATATTTTGCTCTTTGCTTCTGTGGTGTGTGTGTTTTCCTTGGCTTTTAGCTTTTATCTGAGACAACCTTATCTTGTGAGTAGGTGAATTCTGGTTACCGCTGTTAGTAGATTTTATTAGCTCTGCTTTTTGAATTTTATTGTGGTTTGAAATCCATTTCCTTGTTTTGAGAAGAACAGAATAAAGTGTTTATACATATATGTAACCTAAAGAGTTGTTTTTCTTCATTTTCTTTCAGGTCACATGTGGAAATTTAACCAGTGGTGGGAAATCAGAACTTCTAAAAACAGGCAGTTCAAAATCCACGCTAAAGCACATATGGACAGAAAGCAGCAAAGACTTATCTATCAGCCGGCTGCTCTCACAGACTTTTCGTGGCAAAGAGAATGATACAGATTTGAGCCTGCGGTATGATGCCCCAGAGACGTATTCTGAGCAAGATCTCTGGGACTGGCTGAGGAACTCCACAGACCTCCAAGAGCCGCGGCCCAGAGCAAAGAGGCGACCGATTGTCAAAACTGGGAAATTTAAGAAAATGTTTGGCTGGGGCGATTTTCATTCCAACATCAAGACAGTCAAGTTAAACCTGTTGATAACTGGGAAAATAGTTGATCATGGCAATGGGACGTTCAGTGTTTACTTCAGGCATAATTCAACCGGCCAAGGGAATGTATCGGTGAGCTTGGTGCCCCCGACGAAAATAGTGGAGTTTGACTTGGCACAACAAACAGTGATTGATGCCAAAGATTCCAAGTCCTTCAACTGCCGCATTGAATATGAAAAAGTTGACAAGGCCACCAAGAACACCCTCTGCAACTACGACCCTTCAAAAACATGTTACCAGGAGCAGACCCAAAGTCACGTCTCTTGGCTTTGCTCCAAGCCCTTTAAAGTAATCTGTATTTACATTTCCTTTTATAGTACAGATTATAAACTAGTACAGAAGGTGTGCCCTGATTACAACTACCACAGTGACACGCCTTACTTCCCCTCAGGTTGAAGTGGACGATGTGTCTGAGACTGGACCCTGGGAAAAAAAATAATTAATAAAAAATAATAATATTAATTTCAAAAAAATAAAATAAAAAGAGGTCATATGACAGGGCTGTTACCTCAAAGAAGAAGGCCACATCTCTTGCCTGGAATGTGTCTACCCTCTGCTGCTGCTGACAACTGGCTGCAAATATGTTAGTGGAAACCAATCTAATGCCATTTCTGCCCAGTCAGCTCCATGTATATCAGTCCAGTTGTAAATCACTGTGGATTTTAAATAACGCTGCACACAGTTTTTCCCTCTCTCTATCTGCTTCCCCCTCTTTGCGGCTTGCATCTATTGAGATTCTTGTTGAGAAGGCTTTCATTGTCTGATATATAATGTTTCTGGATAACCTATCATCAAGCAAAAAGGATTAACTAGTCAAAGAATGGTTTCTTACACAGACTGTTATGGAAATCTCCTTTTAAAGTCTTGAATACATGATAGTCAATAATCCCCACTCATGCATTCTATCACTTGGAGTAGCTGTACTGGTAAATAATACTGTGTAGGAGTAAATGCTTGTTAAAATGGGGCAAGGGAGGGGGGAATGTCTGTATCTAGAGGTTGGTATTTTGCTTTACATGAACACAACAAAGTGTAGTGACTTTTCTCCAGCATACAGTGGGCACATTCAAGGTGGTAGGTGGTCATTTTTCTGCCAGGAAGGCCTGTTGAACTAATAAAGATGAGCAAACATTTGGAATTTACACATGAACAAACCTATGGTTTTATATTTGGGTACTCATCACTTCAAACATGTAGAGTCAACCGAGACCAACCAAGATGCTCTTCAAGCACCGTATAGGAAGGAAAATGCCTGGTAGGTGACATGTAAGTTGTAAGTGTCTGTCTTATCTTTATTACACAATATTGTAACAAATTCAATATCCTAGTCTTCATTTGTATGAATGGTTTGTATTGTACATAGTTTAACCTGTGTTATTTGAGCTGCTTATTAATATTAACTTGTAACTGTCTCTCTGCTTGTTATTGGTTAAAAACAAAAACAAGGGAAATGAGGAATCCATTTTATCAATGTAGCTGTAAACTCCATTTAAGAAGACAGAGTTCTGTACAAAGCATTTATTCCGCTAAAGTATTGTTGAAAGCTATACACTTACAACATTTACAGTCTGTCTGTATTTAGATCTTTTATTTCCAGGTGAAAACAGATTGAACTGTACATAAAATAAAATACTTAAATTCAAATTTCAATATGCACTCTGTAGATGGTGGTTTAAACAGTGCTAACAGAAGACAGACACGGCAAAGTTTGCCTTATTTGCACAATACATATGTTTAAGATTTTGTCATCCATTCTGTTCCCAATCAAAGTTAAGTGCTATGGATTTTGTGCATGATCAGAGTTTGAAAAAGCTTATCTTTTTTGGGTGACAGGACCTAGAATTATCTGGTCAATGGCAGAGCTGGCTGGAGGAATCTAAGAATTGCAGCCCGCACTCCCAAAAGTAACTTTTGAAAGCTCTGTGTGATTTCTATAGAATTTTGGATTGGCCAGGATAAGTTAGGTCAAAACCAGATGGGGGCAATGATATGTGATGAGAAGAACTTTGCAAAGGAAGGCTTGTGGCAGTGGTTTTCTATAAAGGAAAAGGTGTGGGGAATAAAAATGCAACCTGAGCAAGTTGTATTGATTGTGTGAAGCCACTCCCACCCATTTTCTCCCATCCCATCACCACCACCACCATATTCAATAGCTTCCATCAGGCCTTGTTTTCCCCTAGCGACACTGGAAGGACGTTAAATGGCTGGAGAGGAATACATTTCAACACAAGCAAAGTGTGGTTACACAAGACCAAAAGTGTATTTGAATTGGGTTTAGCATGTTTTAAATTGATATTTAAAAGGTGATTACACAATGCACATGGAGGTTCAAATTTTTTTCCTCTGAGAAATGTTTTTTTTGTTGTTGTTGAGGTATTCTACTGGGTGGCAAAATGGTCGTTTATTTTAACTCACTTATGGAATTGATTTAATTTGAATCATTTTGGCATATGCGAATGGTTCTGTGGCACCCCTTTGTCTCCCAGGAAACAGATGTAGCATTCTTAAAGGGATAAGCAGTTTGCTCGCAGACCATCTTACCCGCTCTCCACAACTCCAAAGACCTTTCCGCCTACTTATATAGCAATATGTCAGTCACAAGTCTCATTTCCCTGTCTGAGTCTCTCTCTCTGTCTCCTGCAGCAATCCATAATGATATGCCAGTTTGAAATAGATAATAATAATAAAAAAATAACGCCACAGCAGAAGAAGTAAGTGGCCAGTGCAAGGACAGTTGGTCAGGTGCAGGACAAAGCGTCATTTGCAACTATTTTTAAAGCTCATATAGGCTCCTCAGCCAATATACAACACAGCTTAAAAATGGATTAAAAGTTTTCCCAAGAGGACCCACATAGCAATCCAAGTTTGAAATAGATAATAATAATAAAAAAATAACGCCACAGCAGAAGAAGTAAGTGGCCAGTGCAAGGACAGTTGGTCAGGTGCAGGACAAAGCGTCATTTGCAACTATTTTTAAAGCTCATATAGGCTCCTCAGCCAATATACAACACAGCTTAAAAATGAATTAAAAGTTTTCCCAAGAGGAACCACATAGCAATCCTAATACCATGTGATTATCACATGACTTTAACCCGATTTCAAAACCTAATCCAGCTGCTGATTCATTTTCATAACCGTGTTCACAGACAGGCAAAAAAGGACCAGTATTTCCATATGCTATTCCAATTGATTTCCAGGACAAATGCAACTGAAGAGCATAGATTCATCTATGCAACCGCTGCTAGGATACCTCCTTGAAAATACCATCGTAAATAAGCAGCTGCATCTTGTAGGCCATTAAGGTTAGCAGATTTTCACAAAGTCCTGGTGACTTTAAGTGTACAAACGCACACTACAAAACAAGAATTGTAATGAGGATTGTCTTCAGCAACATATCCACAAAATCCTATTCATTGTACTTGTATCCTTCCCCTCTCTTTATGGTCATAATAACCTTGTGAGGTAGGCTAGGCTGACCTTATGGATGAATCACTCAAAATATGCCAATGAGCCTCATGGAATTTAAATCTAGGCAAACCTTTATAAAATTCACTTGCAATTTAACATTAAATATATTAAAAATGTATTATGTGACAAGAAATTTGAAAATTTCTTGTTTAAGCTGATGAAAACATTTTTTTTATCTTTTTATCCTTATGAAAAACCCACAGACCACTTGGGATTTCTTTATACCTCCTCAGCTTGGGAACCACAGTCTGGGTATTTCAGCCAAACCTACTCCTTCCTCTCCATCAAACTGGAGAAAATGTCAGAGACATCTGACAGTTGGGGCTTTCCACTTGTGAATTATGTACTCTACTGGTAACTGGAAGGCTATCTTTATCATGCACAGAATGGCTTATAGTTGATAGCAATAAATTAAACATAAAAATATCATGAAAGGAATAAGATGTTGCTTTTTTCAGTCTCAAGTTTATATCCATGTTTTCATTACAGGAGAAATGCCACAACGTTCCTGTTAACACAATAATGTAACTCCTAATCTCCCCAACAGCAAAGTAGTTTTGGGCTTTGGGAGGACATATATAGAGGTTTATTCCCTCTGTGTCATCATTCATATTGGTGCTCAAAGCTCAAGCAGCTTATGTTGGCAAAATCCAAACTGTGTGCTGAAGTTTGCCTTGAAAACTTCAGCCATGCTTGCTTGCATCTACCAGCTGATGCTTCTACTAATAATGCAGTCCAACAGTATTTCTGATAGGGGTGGGATTTTCAGATATTTTGCACTACAAATAATTCTACTTTCTGGAAGATTACCTGACAGATACCTTAATGTGGCTCACCTGGTTTTGAGGCCTAGCTAGACCCAAGCTTTCTATTCCTGTCTCAGTGCAAGCTGGATGCCTTCCTTCTAAACTGAACCTTGTGATGCAGTGATAAAACCGCTGTACTGCAGCCAAAACTGTGCTCACAGCCTGGGGTTCAATCCCAAGTAGCCGGCTCAAGGTTCACTCAGCCTTCCATCCTTCTGAGGTCAGTAAAATCAGTACCCAGCTTGCTGGAGCAGGGCAATGTAAAGCCTGCATAATTAACTTGTAAACCACCCAGAGAGTGCTTTAAGTATAAACAGCACACTTTTAATTAAAAAAACAGGAAACTACACTTAGCTAGACCTCTAAAGCTTTCCATTTTAGGCCTTTGTCCCATATCAGCCACATTTAGATGTCAGGTAGAAATCTCAGAAAGGTTAATTATGGAATTTGTAGTTCTTTTTCTTTTCTTTTTAAAAAAATCTAATCCATATGCATCACTTAGGGGCATATTAATTTTAGTTTATCTTTTATTCAGTTTTAGTTTTGTTTCATCCTGAACTTTTGAGAGAGTTTTAAAAGTTTGCATGAAAATATATACATGTGTTTCTCCTAATACATGCATTTCTGGGTGTAGTTTTACTACATGTCTACATTCTCTATGAACCTGATGTAATGCATTCTCTACTTTATTTGTACTTACATAAATATTTTAGGTGCAGTTTTGATTGGACAACTCCAATGCAAAATTCAGAGATGTGCAAATTTGACAAGATCTTTTGAAAAGCTTTTGCTAATGGCATTAGACTGAAAGCACACATTTTTAACAAATTTGCAATCAAATGCAAACCTATAAACATTTTTCACATTCCTCTCCACCGCTATAAGGTTTTCCCACAGCTTGGCAACATCTTGGCTGTGACATTATCCCAAGGAAGGATTAGGGGTTCTGCGGGATCCCTTGATATAATCCAAATATAATCCAAATGTAAAAATAAAAGAGAATCTCCTGGAATCTATCATGGTTCACAAGAAAGAAGAAAAGGCAGCATCTTGGGAAGTGTTACTAAGCTATCTTGCAGCTATGTGTAGGAAATTTGCCTATTGTTTTGGAAACTGAAAATATTTTTCTGTGTGCACATTTATGTTAAAGTGGGATGTCTGCCTTTGAGGGACGTATGTTTCAGATTTTTTGGATAACAGTACTCCTTTCCAGGAGTTCCCACTGCCAGCCCAGAATGTACAGCCACCTGAATTGTGCTCACCTGGAGAGAAGGTCCAGCAGGCAGCCTTCAAGCCTAACTTCCAGTTTGAAACAAAAGCTTCCCAGTAACCTTTGGTGCAGTTTCCTCTTCAAACAGGAGGTTAGGCCTATCAAGTCCATGAATCTTGCCCGTTGGGTCTTCACTACAATTGACCACAATTTGGGTGTCGATAAGATTTGGGTCCTACAGGTGGGACTCTGAGAAAGGGGAATTATGGGATATATAGTAAAAAAAAGTCAAAATGCACATCCCTAGTACCTCTAGTTCTCATTTAGAAATGAAGCTTTATCTCAAGTATATTGAACTGCTGGGAAGTCATAAAATTAGAGGATCAGGCTATTTAAACCTTTAGCAAACATCTTGTTTTTAACATTTCTTATTTTCTAACTTGAAAGGTTCTCATAATATGGATGCTTCACAGACTATAAAGTGAGGTTAATAAAAAGATTGTTGTAACCACATCTGACCTGGTTCTATAGATTAGGTGAAGTGATTTACAATGATTCAATGATGAAGCAATAATTCAGATGAGGAATATATCTGCATAACAAATGAGTTCATTATTTAACCTTCAGAATAAATTATCATGATTATACAACCATTTGTCTGGGAATGATGACCAGTGTGTTAATGTTACCTTTTGTAGCAATTGTCTCGCATTTTGTCATAATTTAAATAGAAGTGATGTTAAAAATCCCTCTCTTTTTTAAAGTGGATTTTTAAAAATGTTTACTTGTTTACCATGGTTTAATTTTAAAAAAAACCCAAATAGTTATTTTGTTTATGTAATCCTTCTAGTCATTATAAGCACTAGTTTGGACTCATTTGGACAAAGTATTTGATGTCTGAGGTAAAAAAAAATGAGAAAGTGAGTGCAGGTCATTGCTTGACCAAAGGTTTGACATGCTTTCTGAATTAAACGTAGAGAAATAAAGGTTTTGCATATTCATGTGACCCTTGAAATTCTAAAATTGTGGAGTCAGGGCCATCTTGACTTATCAAGCTCTGGCCCATTTGCCTTGTCAGATCATGTATCCTTGAAGTGCTCCAACTTTTGACATGGATGTGTCATGTTTGTCCTGTGGCTCTTCCAAAAGGAGCATTTGTTCTCCTTTGAGTGTTAAATGCAATGCTGGCATTTTGATCCCCCCCCCGCCATCCATATGGCGTTCTTCTTATCTCACTTCATCCAGCGCTTTCCCCCATGACTTAATATTCTTTTCTATTCCTTCTGAAAGCACGTTTTGTTTTCAGTATTGCTTTGTATTGGGAGCAAAATTTAGACCTTACCACTTGCTATTAAGCAACAACTCCCAGTTGGAATCTTTTAGTTGGTGAGTGCATACATGCACATATAGACAAACACAGAAGCTCCAGAAGGAAGCTCTGGCTGCAAAGTAAATTTCTTAAAGGGAACTAGTTTCTTAAAGCAAAAAGAAGTGTTTTCTAAAAAAATGTTTGGACACAATGCTTGTACTCCTTTGGCACCTAATGACAGAAATTGGAGGTGGGGAGGGACAAATGATCCATCTGGAAGAGTCCTCATTCACTTAATTTTAGTCTTAAATGGCTATACCACATGTGCAAGATAACAGAGAAAGGGGTGTCTGTACTGAATTGTCTAGAAAGCTATGAATATTGTTTCAGATTCATGATTCAAGCATGGTGGGGTGTCCCACTCCAAAGTGACAGGGTGAGCCCCCCTTCAGACCACAAATCTTTGGCATGTGGTTTGTAGTTTTTAATCCTTCTTACAACATGATCCT